GACAGTTTCTATTAGCAAAATCTTGAAATGGAGTGAGGTTACACAATCTAGTGAAACATGCTCCTTAAAGACTTTGTTCAGGTTAGAATATCAATCAGAATTTAAAACAATATGCTCAATAAATGGATGAGAGCATGTCCATTAATCCAGGTGACTTTAACATGTTTGACAACCTGCACAATAAACTAGTCTCACCTGCTTAATGTCCTGTGAGAATATGTCTGTTTCCAGGTGAAGTTTACCTGAGGACAGTGGATGTACTCACATTTAACTTGCACCGGTTGTTTGAATCATGCTGGAGCCAATAGTCTAAAAATACTCCCTCTCCTTCATTTCTTAGCCTTATTAGTCCTGATCTCATGGACAGGACACTTTAGGGAAAAGGAGATTGTTACACTTAACAACTAGTTTTTGCATGTCATTCCTAGAATGCTGATCGTAATATGATACATTTACAGTGTACTAATATTCTGGAAGTGTAATAACAGTAAAAAAGTAAAGGAGGAACAAGTAATATTTTGTTTGATGGTTTAAAAAAAATGACATTTTATCGTGAAAACTTTTAGGATTATTTTAGAACTGTTAAGTTTATAGGTTGATGGTTTTAGCGTGGCGTAAATACAATACAACTTTAAATGCAATTTGGGTTTCTACGGAAATCCTATATCAAGCTACCATCCCTTAAAACTTCTAAACATCTGTGAAGCACATATTCTGAACCATGTGTACTTTGAAATCCTCTCATTTGACTACAAGCTGCCAGTCAGATAGGAGTTTCTGATCTTATGGTTATAGAATTTAACATTGTTTAACCATGCACAGGTTAGTAGACTTGTTTTATGCTTAGAGTTTAGGAAAAAGTGAGAGATTCTATTTACAGTACAATTCTTAAAATCTTTAACAAATTGCTGTTTGAATAATGCAAAAATCAACATAAGACCAGTGTGTCAGGTGTAACTCTGTAATGCTTTACTGTGAAGAGAATTCTATATGATTTGTATGAACGTGTGGTTGTTTTTTCACCTCCTTCACTTATCGGTTTCAGCCATCTAATGCGCTATGTCAGTCATTTTAATTTGTGTGTCTTACTCTTTCGGCTAGATGAGACCCATGATATTGCCATATGCAAGCATCTATACAGTAAATGTATAAGGGCCACTAATGTGTCCAAAAACACACTTTCTCTCTCTGACATGTGTGCACGCGCACAAACTCGCACACTTGTAGTCTTCCTTATACACCTGCCTTTAACTGATCAGACCAGTGTGTTTGAGAAGTAAATCTAGGGGCTTTCACACCCACCCAGCATTCCACGAACAAGCACCAATATTCTCATTCTGTAAGTTGAGCTTAGAATGTTTAGAACGAGAATGAACCAGCTGAATTAAATGAATGTGTGGTTGCTTTTTAGTCTTCACAGAATCTCACCTTTTCTATGTAATGGTAATTCTCATTATAAAAAATACCAACCTGGATTATGTTTGAATATCTCAAGTGTTTGTTTTCTCATCTGTGTTTGAGGGCTATTAACTTTATGTACATTGTTTTCTCCCTCTGCTTGTATCATTTTTTTTTTTTTTTTGGTGTGAGATGTTACATATCTGTTTTTTCCTCTGACAAATTCTGTATGTGAAAAAAATCTTGAAGTAATATACAATTATAGCTCCTTTACATTTTTTGAAGTTATTAAATTTGAATTAAAGAGATACTTATGCTGTGTTCCTTCTTGTGTGTGCGTGTGTGTGATTAACTAATCAGAATCAGTAAGAGCTTTATTGTCAAGTGTGTTAGGATCTTCCAGTACAGAAAGTACCAACATAGTGCAGACATATATATAATTTAAAGGGGTCACAGGATGCTACATGCACTTTTACAAGTTGTTTGAACTGAAATGTGTGTTGGCAGTGTGTGTACACAACCACCCTATAATGATAAAAATCCACCCAGTGGTTTTTTTTTTTTATCTCGTTAAATGTTTTCCCCTTTCTCAAATCAAGCCGATCTCAGA